CAAAGTCTGCCAAACGAGGATTTCGTTCGAGACTTCCTCCAAAAGTCCAGCCGCAGCACCCATCAGAGCACACACATCATGCAGCCCTGCCAAGCAGTTTCGCGATTCCAGTCCCTCCAAACGACACCCGCTCAAACGCCAATCCCAATGTGACAGCGACATTCACCTCTACCACAACTCACAACCTCCCGATTCCCTGCACCGGCCACGAATCTTTCCGCATCCACACGTCTAACGCGCACAAAGTACTGCGCCTGCCACGAAATGTCAACTCCGTCACACCTCGCAACCTCACGATTTCCTGCGCCTGCCACGAAAATCGCACTTCCACACCTCAAAATCAGCACAAAGTACTGTGCCTGCCACGAAAAGTGAGAATATCATCTCACATGAGCTTCAACAAAATTTGCACCACACCACACGTTTAGAATGATTTCGACCCGTTCTGAGCACACTCCCATCCACGAAAATCGCCATTTCAGCTGAGACTTGTCACGAAAACAGAGCTTCGATGCCACACCCTGAAATGCAAATCCCAATGGCACGGCCACATCCAACACCCCAAAAACACGACTCTCCAAACGCTAATCCCAATGGAACTGCGCAGTAAACTGCGGATCTCTCAAACCACTGCGCCTGTGCAGCGAAATGCATCACGCTTCTTGCGCGACATGTCATTTTCATGCAAATCACAATGGAATAGCGTCGCAAACTGACACGTGACACATCCATGAAAAGTCACTTGCAAAAGCTTCCCCCAATGGCAGCGCCTTAGCGTCCTACTGCGAACGGTTGCGGACGGTTGCGGACGGTTGCGAACGGTTGCGAACGGTTGCGAACGGTTGCGAACGGTTGCGAACATAGAAACAACGGATCGCGAACAAGACTCTACCCCCAGACCCCCAGAGTTAAACGAGAACCCTTCGCTACGCATTCGGGAATAAATGAAAAAATGAAAAGGACTCTATGAAATGAAAAAGAACTGAATAAATATGAAAAAATGAACACCAAATAAAAATAAAATGAAAACAAAATGACAAAAAAATAAAAAAAATGATAAAAAATGATAAAAAAATGATAAAATGAAAAAACACAAGGTTTTTAAAGGTTTTTTAAAAATCTAAGATTTTTTGTGCATACTGATGTTGGACTGCTGGTCAGGAGCCTTACTTCGACCAGAAGATGCTGGACTCCTTGAGCTCTCAGCAGATCTTGAGGTGGCACATTCAGGTGGAAGACTGGCGATCAGACCTTGGCTGCAAAGGTGCCCTGCATGACTTGAGGCCATGGACAAGGTGCAAGTCTCGCAAATACATCGGCCTCAATCCCACTTCTAGGATCATGGCTATTCTGGATTTAGTTGCAATACAAGTTCTTGGAGGTGCTCAACGTTGCTTCGCTTTGATGAAGGAAGCTGGTTTTGAAGATGTGCTGAAGGCTGAGCTGAGCCAGGTGATAGTTGATGTCAGCCAGAACCCATGTCGAAGAGCATTTTCCAACGCAAAGAATATTTCCAAGTGCTGGACAAGCACCAGCATTCTATACAGCTACAAGCGGGATGGTATAATTTTGCCATTTGAACAGTTCATGGTAATGGGCCATCCTAGGGGAATTCAGTTTCCATCAAACATGTCTCAAAAAGACATTCAGAAACTTGCTGGGCAGAGTATTAGTTTGCCGTGTTTGGGCCTCATTTTGGCTGCCATGTGGACGACCACAGGTTTGTAGCCAGATGCGAGGTCATAGATGCTGTTTGTACCAACATATTTGCAAAGGTTGCAGGGCCATGGCAAGCACTCCACTCTATTCTATCACTATATGACTACTGACTGACTACTGACTACTGTAACTAGTAACTAGTAACTAGCAGCTAGCAGCAGCTTACTAGTTGAGCTCAGTCCTATAACCATATGACATATCAGATATCAGAACCTGCTTCGCACCTGCCTGGAACTGCGCAATCGAAAGACTGCCGAGAAATCACATGCAAAAAAAAGATATCAGTCTAAGCAAACTTGGAGGCGACACTGCACTGACTGAACCCTAGGTCCTGACTCTAACTGTAACTCAAGAGAATGCTTCAAGTATTAAGTATTTGATGCTCAAGTTTGTGCTGGGTTTTTGAAGATGTGGAAGTGAACGCTTTCAGTCTTTGTGTTTCTGTTTCTGTTTGTGCATCATGCTCTCGCATTCCCGAATCCGATACCAACAGTTCAACAGTGCCACAGTGCATTTCCTCCTGTGACGCAGTACCCTTGCGCGGCTTAGCAGAGCAGTACAGTGCAGTAGTCGCAGCTTTCTGATCATTCATTGGTCAGTGAGGGTACCAAGATGGGAAAGCGCGGGAATGAAGGTGACCAATCTGCAAAGGACCCAGGGTTTGGGGCGTGTGTCGGAAGAGTGCCGAGCTGGTTGAAAGCGTCCTTTGGCTTTACTTTACTTTACTTAGGACTTATAGGACTGTGTGTTTGAATCTATAGATACTATACTATACTATAGACTATACTATAGACTCTGGACTAACTATAGTGACTACTATAGTGACTGACTATATACACTTGGCCATACACACATCATATGATTCTATATATGCGGCAAGTCAGGACGGACTGTTACTGCTGTTACTGACTGTTACTTTTACTGTCACTGTTACTGATGCTTTTTGTTGATATTGCATACAGCATACTGATACTGATGCTGTCATATGTATTACAATGTATGGCTGCCACGTGCAGAAGCCCACAAACTGGAGTCCAGGGTCCAGAGTCCAGGGCCAGGGTTAGCCGTTAGCCGTGCCATGGTTGCCATGGTTACGGTTACGGCGGTTAAGCCTTAAGCCTGGTTTTGGTTCATTGTTCTTTTCATTTTTTCCAAACACATGCGAATCAAATCACTTAAGGACCAATCATGTGACCAATCCATTTAAGATGACTTGATGGGAGTGTAAAACAGTGTTTCATCTGCAATACTGCAATGGCAATGCAGCTAGCAGCTAGCAGCTAGCAGCTGAGTGCTGGTAATTACCATCAACCGTTCACAGTAGCCTGGGGGCTGGGGCGTAGGCCGGGCCTAGGCCCTAAGTCCTAAGTGAAAGGGTGGTAAGGTTCTGGACTCCAGTGACTCCAGCATTTTCCTGTCATTGTTTCTGTCACTAGAACTAGTAACTAGTCACTAGTATCATAGGGCTTGGAGAAGAGGTGCCCAGACATGTTATATAGGTACCAGGTGCCATCAAAACATCCAGCAGCTACTAGTTACTAGTTACAGTAACTGTGTCTATGTCATATGTGTTCCAAATCCACCCCCAAGTCCAATGTAAGTACTGAGGCCTGACCCCAGCACTAGGTCACTAGGTAACCAGCATCTGAAGTTGCTGCCTAGCCAGCCCTAGGCGCCTAGGCTCTAGCTAGCAGCTAGCAGACTCTAGCAGCTAGCAGCTAGCTAGCAGCTAGTACCTAGGACAGCTAGGACCTAGGACCTAGGACCAGGAACATAGTATGACTAGATTAGATTAAGTGAGACTAGTGACTAGTGAGTAGACTCCGCTAGGCCACCTTGAGTTCCCAAGGATGGAGTTCAAAAATTGGAAGTAACAAAAGGAGGAGGTGATATCATCGCTGCACAGGATGCATATAGAATCTAGAATCTAGAATCCATGGAAAACCACACTGGAGGGACTGGTGACTGGAGACTGAGAAGAGTCATTGCCATGAACGATTGTCGCCGCAGCCTGACTGATGTATTTTAGGGATGTGCACTGTTGCCTGTTCTGGATGATGAAGCAACAGCGAAAAGCACGCTGACATGGCAGAAGCCAGGAGTCTAGCAGTACCTAGGACCTAGGATCTAGGAATCTAGGACCTAGGATTAGAGGGATGTAGACTGAAGACTGAGGACAGGAAAGGAGAACTGTGATAAAGCGTCCATAGTCACCATCACCATTGCCATATGCCATAGCCGCAGCCATAGTCATCGTCTATAATAATAAGTAGAATCTAAGACTGCGTGTGACATGTGCCCTACAGGAGATCGATGAAGAAAAGCATCAAGCGTATAAGTATAGGTCTAAGTCTAGTCTAGAGTCTAGACTCTAGAGTCTAGAGTCTAGTCCGATCTAGGTCTAGTCTAGAGCCAGGACAGGACAGGACAGCAAAGCTGCGCATGAAGTGTCTACACTCCCAGCCTTTGAAGGCGCCTCCAGTAACTCTAGACTTAGGCTCTAGACTCTAGACTTAGACTCTAGACTTACGGAGACCTAGCGGGCCTAGCAGCTAGCTAGCAGAAAGCAGATTGTGGCCAGTCTTTTATATTGCTTTGTTTCATATGTTCTGTTTTGTGCTTTCTTCGTTGGAGTTTCCTTTTGTGGTTCCTTTTTTCTTATGGTTTGTTATTCTATATACTCAAATGCACGCACTTCTGGACAGTATGAACTTATGACTTATGAAGTGTGGACAGGGACCAAAATGACACTCACTCATGTTTCTTCTAGGAGAAGCCGGGGAAGCAGCCCAAAACAGCTGCAGCACCACCGCCAAAGAAGAAGACTTCACAGCTGCTGAAGTGCTCTTGCTGTGAATGTACTTCCAAGGACGTTCTTCACCAGGGTGAAAACAAAAGCAACGTCATATGACATGACATATGATGTGTTTTCTTCCTTTCTCTCACTCTCTCTCTCTCTCTCCTTAGATTCAGATTTAGAATGTATATAGATAGATCCCTGTCTCAATCCAACTCTATGCAGGAACAACCTTGGGGTGACTATGATGACAGCGGATGTTGCCAGGGACCGTTTTGCTTCAACTGCTGTGGCAACTTGACAAGGTTGCGACCGACGCAAGACAAGGAACAAGTACAAGATTGCTATCTCCACCCAAAGACTGACTCTGACCACAAGCTCGTTGATGATATGGAGAAAATGAAAGATGTAGCTGATGACGAGGATGTCATTGGCCAGTTCTATCCACAGAGCGAAGTGGACCGTACCAAGTCATACTCATTCGATGTTCCAAGACTTTGGACTACTGACTGAAGCAGAGTTCACCAAGCTTTGCAAGACCACGCCGCAAGCAGCCGGCCTGAACAAAAAGAATGCTCCCAACATCCGCTTGAGTTTCAATGGCCCAGAAGGCAAGCAGAAGTACTTCTTAGTTGGGCTCCAAGGCCTACCATGTTCGGAGGTACATGGCATGCGAAAGATTCGGATGAGGATGACAGATTCAGTGCCTTGAATTTGGAGTTTCCCCTGGGTTTTGCTTTCTTCTATATGTCTTGACACCTGCTAGCTGCTAGCTGCTGCTAGCTGCTACCTGGTATATAACCAAACACGGCGCTATCAATGTGGTGGTGTTTATAGCACCATTTTTGCACTCCACAGGTTATAGGCAGGTGGGTGGGGGGTTGGGGGGTAGGGAAGTATAAGTAGGTGCAGGTAGGCATGAAGGTAGGCAGGTAGGAGGTATGGCAGGTATGGCACTTAACTTAAATTAATTAAGACTTACAGTAAGCCTTAAGCACTGGGCATGCTTATCAATGTGTAGCAGGGTAGAATGGCTCACTTGTGTGCGGAACCCATTTTGAGGGAAGTTGCCTTCAGGTTTTCGCACTAGGCCACTAGTCACTAGTCACGAGGTCCTAGGTCCTAGGGCCCTAGGTCCTCACTAAATTGTCCAGAGGTAATTTATCCATACCATCCACTTACAATATGGTACTGTGTTACAAAAGTCAGGACGTCGCAAGACAAAATACCAAGACAAACCTTCCATTGAAAGGTTCTTATGCAGCTGCAGCTTCCTTGTCCATCCAAATCCAAGGTGTCCCATTGCGAGGGATTCTTGGACCCTGAGAAGCAAGTGCTACAAGACCAGGGCACTACAGTGTTCAACCACATGTTCAAAATGGCGAACGAGTCCTACGATGCCTCAATGCAGTTTGGGTGCAAGGCTCCCAAGAATGTGGTGGACTACTTGGCAGAGAAGGAGACGGCGGCTGATCATGAGCAGCAGCAACTTTCAGAAGCTGCTGCAAGAATTGCAGCCGCCAAAGACCAAGCTGCCAAGCAAAGCTCTGCAGATGACTTTGATGCATTGTTGGACGGCTTTGATTCAGGTGATGAAGCGGCTGAGGCCATGCCAGCTCGACCAAAAATCTTGCCTGGCACCTACTCATCCAGCTTTGCGACACCTTCAAAACCTGCCCCGAAGGCAAAGTGTCAGAGCAACAGCGGCAGCAAGCAGAAGGCTGCCTCTCAAGCATCTGCTAATCTTTCAACCACTGCATCCGGTTCTGTTCGTAGCGTGGAGGAGACGACAGATAGCGCTGGTGGGAAGCAGGAGCTGGATCCGGAGATGCAGCGTGTGGCAGAGAAGCATCTCTCCACAGAGAATTGTCTTGGTTCAGGTCCTTTTGTGCTGTCTGTCTTTCATTGTTCATTGTTTTTGTGGAAGTTTAATAGCCGCACAGCCGACCCGAACCTGAATCAAAAGACTTGACTGTATAATATAGTAACATTGTATAACACTGTTACATCAGTATAAACTGACACTACTAGTTACTACTTACCACCCTACTTAGGGCCTGGGCCTAGGCCAGGGAGTGACTAAGTCCAAGACTGTGACTAAGACTAAGACTAGTGACTAAGACTGTAGTGACTGTACTGTAGTGACTCATAGTCATAGATCATAGTCATAGTGACATAGTGTTATTTTTTAGTGTTGTACAACTGAGGACAAGGGCAGCAGCATCAAGGCTTTGTATGGCCTGGTTCCCCAGACGTTCCTGGTGCTCTCCGATCGTCGATACGCACAGTCAGCCAAGCTCCGCGGAGTCTCTTGACTCAAACAAGCCTTCAGAAGTTCATGGCATCCTTGTGAAGCTTGTGGCTTATGGCTTATGGGCTTACGCCATTCATTCTACTACTACTACTTACTACTTCTCTTTGCACGGTTCTAGAGCAGCGCTCGATTATAAGATGTTCAGATAAATTTTACAGAGGCATAGACTCATAGACTCATAGACTAGACATAGTATAGACTCGACGTGACTTGACTAGACTAGACTCATTCTTTTTTAAAAGTTGAGGCTGCGGGTCACCACTTAGCGCACAACAATGGTCACATTGTAGCATTGTAGTCGTGCACGCTGATGACTTGCTTAGGCGAAACAAATCCTGGAGAACCTCGGGAAGACTGGGCACACTCAAGCTGCTGGCCTGCTTAAGGATCGCATTGCTCAGTGTGAGTCCTGTGAGATTCTCAGCAGCCGTGTTCTCAAGACATGTAAGCCTGATCAGATCGAGAAGGTGATCTCTGCTACCATTGGAGTGGAGTTGCCTTGTCCCATTCAAGTGAGGGTGGCGGAGGCGCATGTGATTCACAAGATCGTGAATGTACTGGACCCCAAGGCTCCAGATGATGAACTTGTGGAGGGCATGAAGGCTTTGGCTCGCGCTCTTTGCCCCAAGACCAAAGAGCAACTTCGGAATGAGCGTTTGATGAAATTCGAGGCAGTCAACCCTAGGTTTGACGCAGTGCTTTATCAGTTGATGGACGGGGTGGCTGTGGATTCAGCATTCTCTCATTCTCCTTCTGGGGGCATGCTGGCCTTGACAAATGCTCCAGCTCCTACCACGCCAGTTCCAGAGTTCAATGCCAGTGGTCAGATTGTTTTGGCGGCATCTCAACCTACACCTGGACCGCCTACACCGACACCTCAGTCTGAGTCATCTCACAAGATGCCACACACAGAGAGAGTGGAGTGTGGCCAGGCCAGGCCAGCTCAGTAGTTAGGACGGTTTCCAAGGTGGTGACTAGTGACTAGTTAGTTAGTTATACTAAGTTACTAGTTACTAGTTCCTAGTTTGGGAAAGGCCTGTGCCAATGGAACAGCCAACAGCCAACAGCTTAGTGAATTGATGAATGAAGGGTCAGTATATGCCATATTCAAATTCAATATCAGTCAGTGATTCCAGCCACCCTGTCAAAGGCTTTGGGGGCTGCAATCATTGGTGTGCTGGAGGAGGAAATCTTCATGCAAATCTTTGCAAGGGGGCTGGATGCAAAGAAGTCTTTGCTCGCGTTCAGCCTCACCTTTCTTGAGGGGATGCAAGAGCTGATGGAGAGCCCTGCAGAGATTGCCATCTTTAAACATGACATAGGAGCTGCTGTCCATGCCGCACTCACTCGCGTCAACAAGATTTGCAGAGCTATTGCGCATTGCTTCTGTGCCAGTGAGCCAGATGGAGTTCATGCGCTGAGCGATGAAGATGCCTTCTACTTTCAGAAGTACAAGGATGCTGACCTGCCAGAGAAAATGGTTGCCAAGCTCTTCAACGATAGGGAGTCCTTTTGGCACAAGGAAACTATGGAGATGATTGCCAAAGCAGGGGCTTCCACTCTTACAGCAGTGAAGCAACAGGAGCTTCTAGACTTGCTTGCAGAGGACTCTCGTGCAACCTTTGCACCAGAGTTGAAGCAAATGGCAGACCTTCTTTCGAGTCTCCGTGAGTCTTGTAGGGAGCAGAAGCTGGTATGCATTCACGAGAAATTCTTTGTAGCACGGCTCTGTTTATTGAGAATGCTTTGTTTTTTGTTTCCAAGAGACTACTATACTATACTATAACTATATCAGTTAGTTAGATTCAATAGAGTCCGATAGATAGAGCAAGCAAGAAGAGGAATGCAGGACCTGATTTGTATACTATACTGTAACTCTAACTGAAGTCCAAGTCCAGTCTGTTGCCTTGTTTCCTATGTTTGTGGCATATGAATTAAATAAATATATATATAATATAGATGCATAGATTGTTGGGATGTTCTTTTGGCAGGCACATGCCAAAGCTGCCATTGAGAAGCTTGTGGGAGGCACGGTCGACCATCATCATGTGAGCAGTGAACTCAGCGATGTCTTCCTGTCTGCACTTCAGCATTTGCCCAATGAGTACCCTGGTGTGAAAGAGCAGAGGGAGAAGATCCAGGTCTTTTTCACTGACCACCGGAAGCAGGTTGGAGCCAATGATTTGCTGAAGCTCATGGCAGCTTCTGAACAGGGAGGAGGGGTGGTTGACATGCCGAGAGTGTCCAAGTGCTTTGGCCAATTGGGTGACGAAGTGGCGAGCATCAAGGAAGTGCAGGAAAACCTTGATTCATTCCTCGCTCGATGCATCAACCAATTGTTTGCCAAGGCCTCTTTGTGGCCTCGAACTAACTAACTGACTAACTAACAAACATCTTACTAGTTACTAAGTTACTAGTTACAGGTTACAGATATACATAACTTGATTAAATCTGCCCATTCCACTAGAGTCACCAGAGTCCAAATTGGCCTATTAGGGCCATAATTGCTAAACTAAACTAAGACTGTGGCTAAGGGGGCAGCTGGGGTGGCTAAAAGGATGATGCAAATGAGCCCTGAAAGGTAACAGACCTTCAGCCAGACACCAATGACATCCAGAAGGCTGGAGTCTTTATCCGCGCTGTGGCTGGCCGCCGATCTGAGTTGGCCGGTGGCAGCTCTGATTCCTGCAAAGATGTGAGCTCCTTCATTCAGCTCTGGGCAAACCTGGCAGAGAATTCTCTCCTGCTGATTCGTCTGAACAACAAGTGCTCTGACGTTTGTCTGGAAGATGTCAAGCAACATGTGGAGACCCATGGGGTGCAACTTGCTGAGAAGTTGGTGACAGCGAGGAAAGAAGTTACACGCTTGATGAATTCCATTGAATCGCTTGCCAAGGCCAAGCCAACAGGAGATTTGCCCATTGGTCTTCAGAAGCTGTTCTCAGTTCAGTTGCCACAGTCAATTCACTCCGCGCTTGTCTCTGAGTCCTTCGATGACATGGTTGCATGCAAAGCTGCTTTGTTGATGGACTCCATCAATGTGAACAACATGGCATTTAAGAAGATTCTACAGGAGAACTACAAGCAGAAGGAGTTGGACGCTTCCCAAGACCACTTCAGATTGCTTCGGCAGTCATGGGCAGCAGGGCTTTCTGAGGCTTCCTCACTGGAGGACATGACAGCAGCATGCAAGGATATTATTTCAAAGCTCCCAGCTGCTGCAATGAAAGATTTTGCGAAGGTTGTTGCTGAGGAGCCTCTTTTTTTCCATCTCTCTCTGACCCTACTCAACTCTTGAGAAATATACTACTATACTACTATATATATATATAATGGATACCTAACTTCTGTTCCAGATGCATGCCTGACCTAACTTATTAGTCATTACTCCCTCAATCATCTCGTTATGATTCTATGCCACTATGCCCCAATATGACTATGACTATGATAAAGTAATTTGGATCTTTCAGTTTCAAATTGTTCATCAACAGTGTTCAGAAAGTAAAGACATGTTTTTGACTTTTAGCTGACAGAATGTGGGGAACTGAACTGAGAGATGTCTTAATCAACTATTAAGTATGGAACCATGGCTTCTTTGGGGCGCAGGAAACTCAAGTCCAAGAGTCCACAATTCAATACTTAAGCTCGTGTTGTCATTCATTTATTACCCACAATTGCCCACAATGGTACCTTTGGCCCCTGTGGGATTTGATTTGAGCTTCAGGCTTGAATCTGGTCAGTGGTCAAACCAAGATCTTGTGAATCTTGTCATCTTGTTGAGGAGAAGCAACGCATCGACTCCTTTGTCAAGACTTTCTCCAATGAGGTTCAGAGCGATGCTGCCCAGAGTGCCTTTGAGGATCTGCAAAAGGCTTGTGACCTGGCCATCGAGATGGCACAGACTTCGAAGATTCATACTTCGCATGTGCTCCTGATCAAGGCCACGCGGAACTACCACAAGGGCAGTGCAGACAATGACGAGACGGCTGTGAGCAACAACTTGAGCTTGATCCAGCACCATGCCGAATTCTTCAGGGCCAATTCGTTGGGGCTGTCTGAGCTTGATCTTTTCAAACCAGTCTGGGAACAGGCAAAGAAATGCCTGACGGCAAAGGCCGCTGACTCATGACCAGGTGACCAGGGGTGTTGAGTGCAAGTGCAACCCCATTTTGCAAACCAGAGTTGCCGTGGACTTCATTCAGACTGAACTTCAGACTCTAGTCTAGACTCTAGACTACTAGACTCCAGTTTGTTTTGAAGCCTCCCTGTGTTGCTTCAACTGTTCCTGTTACTGTTCGAGCATGGTTGGGGTGCGCGAAACATCCTGGCTCTTTTTGAGAAGTCCATCACTGAAGTGCGATCATGTCGGTCGCCTGTGAAAATAGTTCAGATCATGTGCTGCGGACAGACTGACTTGTGACTTGACTAGTAAAGTATCAGGACCAGGGCACAGGGCACAGGGATAGTGATAGTGACTAACTGACTAAGGAGTAGACAAGTAAGTAGGTAGGTAAGTAAGTAAGTAATAAGGCTGCGAAACTAAACTGCTAAACTTTGAGAATAAAGAACAAGGAGCAAGCAAAATCACTATGACTATGACACCGACTAACTATGATGACTATGACAGGTGACTATGACTAAGTCACTAGGTCACTAGGTGCAGGTACTAGTTACTAGTTACTAGGTGACTAAGTAGGGTAGGACTAAGTAGGAGATGCATCCTGTGGAATCATTGATGTTCAACGATTAATATATATATATATCTATAATTGACACACACACATATTTGTCAACCAGCAGAACCATACACAGCTGTATGGTCTGGTAAGTGGTACCTGGTAGTGGTGGTAGTAAGTAGTCAGTAGTAACTAGTAGTTGCAGTTACTGCCAGTAGTAGCTATGTGACTTCGGACTACTCCTCACACTCCAAAAAAGCCTCACAAACCTCCTCACAGCTGAAGAAGCATGCAATTGTCAGATGCATTCAATGAGCATAGCAAGCACAGCAAATTCAATTGTATATATACATATAGCTTTATTATACAAACACAGACCTCACTGACCAAACAGCAAAAGCAACACGAATCCCATTGGAAGAATAACTAGTTCAATCCTAAATGTAAGCTCAACACCACATTATACACAAATGATAAAAAACGATAAAAAAACGAAAAAAAAATGAAGTTCCAAAATGATAATAAAATGATAATTAAATGAACATGAAATGATAACCAAATGAAAATAAAATATTTTTGCAGTTTCCAACACGTAGCAGCTAAAGATTTTCATAAATTTATATACTCTATCATATTGTATCAACTGTTGGGATCTTTCGGTATAGGCGTGTATGATGGGTATATATAGATATTTCCCAATAGCTACAGAATATTGAAAAATAGAAATTATATAGTATTATATACATATATTGAATATATTATTGTTGCATATTGTATTTCATACTGTATATTTATATATGTCAAACAATTGGGGCGTGGCTTGGTATATCTTGGTAGGCTAGGATTTGCCCAATCAACCTCCCCCACCCAACATTCCGGCCAAAAACGGTGACATGAATGGATGCCATGTTCAACATAACCCATCCATTGGATCCGCAGACGGAACTCTACCCATGGGCCTTGGGATCCGGTACCGGTCCAGGAGTTACGAGCGACGTGCCCGTGGGGAAGTGGCCTATGAAGGGCAGTGGTGGGCTGTAAGGTGGGCTGACAGCTCAGCTTTGGGGACTTGTGAAGCTCAGCTCTGGGGATTTGGGGGCACCGAAAGTAGATGTGGAAGAGCTTATTGGCACCGCCATCGAAGTCTTCAAGATTCTTCTGACATGTTACTTTTTTTTGAGGTCGAACTTGCGTCTTTGTAGAGCCGGTCTGTAGTAAACTAGCATCCGGGTTGAGGAGGGTCATTCTACTGCCGTGATTCTTGTTTAGGTGGTTTTTGTCATTATACAGTTACGTAGAACTGCATAGATGTGCAAATTTGTAGAGATCATCGCGCTGGTGAAAGGCCATTGTGCTTCAAGCACGGTATGTTGGGGTTGTTGGTGTCAAGCACCGTGGAGGTTTGGGAGGTTATGGGAGGTTGAGGAGGGTCACTTTACAAGACCACTGAGTAACTTGGATATACTGGTACTGATTTGGCAGCGCTTTGCTTGAGTGGAAATACACACTTGATTGACCCCCTGCAGTTGACAATGTCTTTTTGAGTCCGAGGTCCACAGGAAAGCCACGGGCAGCAGAGGCACCACCACACGGTCTGTCTGTGCATCGTCCGTGTGGTTGTTCCGCAGAGGTTTCCGAAGCCTGTGTGGATCCAAAGCTGGGAGAGGCGGAGCGGGGACCAGCGGGCGGAGGCCTGATCTTGATCGTGATGGCGGCCGGAAAGGATTCTTTTCCCTAGGCCTCCAAGTATACCTTCTGAGAAGGTGTTTGGGGTGGGTTTGGAGGGTCCAAGTGCCTCCTCAGATGTAGGGTTTGTGGGTCTGGAAGCACCTGTAGATGAGGCATATGGATGCATATGGTGCATATAGGTATATTCTGCAGCAGCTTCTTCAAAGTCCCAAGTGACCAGAGATCAAGTTCACTCACTTTGAAGAGCCATGAAAGTGGCAGCGCGGGCCCTTCGGAAAGTAGGCCGTGTGATGAGAAGTTACATCACCTCCAAGTATGGCCCAAAAACCCGAACTTGGAGAGCTTACGCCTGGCATCCCAGACACCTCAGATGGACTGTCATTCAAACAAGGTGTTTATGATTATGCACATCGTCACCTGGGCACAGATCATCGTTCGACGAGTGTTTTCCGGTGGACTCGGTGGGGCTGCGGAGGCTGCTCCAGGACTCCAAGGAGGATGGCAGGCTTGGCAAGCTGTGAAGGTGATAGGTGGTTCAAGACATTTCAAGACCCCAAACATCTCAAAAAGCAGGTGAAGATATGTCTGTGGGTCCTGGAGAGAGAGTTGGACCCCACTTCAGGCCACTTCAGGCCAATGCTGACCTTAGTCCATTCCTGCTCAGGCTTTCCACCGGTCCACCGGGTCGCTTCCTCTCTTCGTTCGCAACGAAGTGGTCTGGACCGTCCGACCTGGAGCCGATGACTCGGCTCGGCTCGGAGATGCCGATCCCACCAGCTCCGTTTCTTCTGGGCGGGTGAGTGATTGGAGCGAGCTTCTACAAGTCCGGTCCACGCACCAGACACTTCTCCGGTGCTGAAAACGCCAAAACACGGGAGAGCGCGCTGGAAGGGCGTGAAACACCTGTGAAAATTAGGTCTTGGAAGTTGGGTGGAATGTGTCCTTTACGCTAAGGCACCAGTTTAACCCATCCTTTGTTCTACCTCCCGACGGGGGTGCGGGAGTCTTCGGGCTCAGCAATCAGGGGAGGGGCTGGTGTTGCTAGCCTCTTTGTTTTGGGTGCAGTATATCTTCCTCTTCAAAATCTTCAGGCCCCAAATTCGTCATCCCTGGTTATGTCAGACCCCATGGCTTCAAACCTCCCACTGCTTTGGGCGTGCATTGGTCTAGCTTTCTGTCTCTCCTCAGCTCCTCACATGCCGCTAGGCCCTGTGAGGACCACCCCTTCGTGCCGCCGGACCTGCCAAGGCTGGAAGAAGCAGTGTAAGGGTGGATGGTTTTGGTATTGACCCCTGTAACCTCTTAGACCACTCACCATCGGGTTCAATTGACCATCACCATTCGAACCGTTCATGCTTCTAATCTCTTAGATAAGAATCTCAGTGACTACTCTAGATGCTGAAATCTACCGTTTGGGATCCGCTGATGCCGTCACCAAGTGGACCATTCAAGTGGAAGAAAGAGAAGGGGAAGATCAGGACGGTTGGGATGGTTCATGGGCCCTTACTGTATATAACCAGTAAGCGGCTATGAATGGGCGTGATGGCCACCATAGATGGCTTTTTACGACCTTGGTTTGGTTGATTTATAGATGGGGTACCCCCGGTCATGTACAACCAATATGGTACCTGGCATTGACTCCTCCCTTCTTCCCCAAAGGACAGACTCAAGATCCTGAAGTTCCTCTCGGACAGGCCCTTGGCCGTTCTACAGGGCTGGCGCCAGCATAGCTGCTTGGTGCCCGTGGCCCAGCGCTTTGCAAAGACGAGGCGGCTCCCGCCGGGATGGGGAGAGCTCAGAAGACCGGCTGGAGCCTAGGGCCCAAGAATTGAGCAGATTCATGAAGTTAAAACTAGAAGATCGTGGGCAGTGCAAAGCATATGGGAGGTCAAACAACATTTACCCAATCCCCGAACAAATATACTGAAGGAAAGTTAGATAGGACTTGTGAAACCATGGGTGAGAAAATTATGAATGTCATCAGGAAAGAGCCCATATGCACGCACATGTATGTTATCTCATAAATGTTTGAGATTCCATGGTTTCAGGAGGTTTTTGATATTCAACCACCAGATGGCAACATGGCAAAAAGCCACGCATATAATGTATTTGTGAGAATAACACAACGGAACTAGTTCGGCAAGAAACTTTTTGACAGGGAGCGTGCCGAAGTCATGAAGCTTTCATCAGTCATAGTCATATTTTGTATATCTCCTTGGGCATGCCTTTATGTTTTTCTTTGAGTTATGTAGTGGCAGAACGTCTACAACTCCTATGTCATCCTCCTGTGTACTACATTTGGCAACCTTCTCTACTGACTGATGACTCAATCGCAGTGGCCCACAACTCCTATGTCACTAGTCCAGCGAATTCCTACACCATTATATATATATATTATATAGCCCTCAAAATACGAAAAAATATCGACACCAGTACAATTTGGAAGATCCACCAAGTGTCCGACTATGTCAGGCTGCGCAATGTCGGTCCAAACAAGACAATCAGAGGTTCTACCTCCCCAGACTTCTCTAAGTCACAGGTCACTGTCCTCTCAGGTGCTTAGTCTTCATTGCTTTGGTGAACTCCTTACACCTCGGGGAGCACTGGCAGGCGTGCAGTACCGCGGCATTTTCCGCGCAAAGACATGGCGCGCATGTGGTGTAGCAGGTAGGGAAGAACGGTCATAACGACCATGTCGATGAAGCCGACGCTGCTTTTACGGAGATGATAGCAAAGTACCTGATATCCGAAATGATCCGACATCGTCCGGATACAAAGATGATCCTCGTGTCGATATCCTCTATGAAATGGCAGGGGATAACCTCTCCCATAAAACGTTTTATGAGTGCATGCCTTGGGGTGGTCAGTGTATCATTTTATAGTGAAACCATGCTTGCAAGAGCTTCTGTTTCAGTTTCACCATGCTGCCGCTACTGCTCATTGATAGAGGCATCACAAACCATCAACAAAAATATATAAAAAGAAAAGGAAAGCAACATATCCAACATATATAAATATAGTATATTTTGATAAGGACGTGAAAAGCTAGAGCTAAAATCTGTTAACTTTTGTGGCAGCGTGTGGGACAGCCATGACAGAAGCACCGCCCGGTGCACCAAAAGTATGCGCCACTTGTCTCTGAACGTAGAGGTTCCACATTGCAGATGATTGAAGCAACAAAGCGTATTTGGCTTTTCTTTGGCTTAGGGAGTCAAGAATTGCGTGTACGACATGAATCCTCCAACTTGGAGCCCAAAATATGGTTGGAGCTGCTTGGCTTCTGGTGTTTCTTAGATGTTTACGTATCTGATTCTAAGTTCCATTTTTCGGGGTTTCTGTTGGGAAAATTTATGGCAGTCGCGCTGGCGACTAAGATGCCCGGTGCAAACTTCACACCGGGCAGCGAGCATCCTGGCACTATACTTATTGGAATCCAGATACGTGCCTTTGGCTACAATGAGGGGGTGTTAGGGACCTTGTTTGTTTAATTTTGTCAAATTGAATTGCAAAAAGCCAGCGGTAAATGCATAATTTTTCAATTACCAACCATCCGCCCAGGAAGACTTGGGAGTGGACACTGGAGATCAGCCGGCTGTTCAAGAAGTGTTTCCAGGCCGAGAAAAACATACATGAAACATGTGCAACGGGAATCCATTCGATAAACGTGTCTGGAAACAGCGTACAGCCCACAGGAACCTGTCAAGATTCCTGTCAAGATGGATCCAGAGGCCGTTGCGTCCTCAATGAAGTAGGACAAATTTTATCATTTTTTTGAAGGCAGATGTGTGTATTATTGTGTATTTAATCTTTAAAAGTAATCGTCAAAAAACATTTAGCAAAACAGTTTTTGAGTTGGAACCTGATGGAATTGGGGCCCAAAGCGATTTGATAGTTTCAGGATTTTCTAGTTTGGTAGCCGCGTCGCTTGGGGCATTTGGTAGTCATGCGCGCTGACGACACCGCCACGTCTGTGGAGGAGAAAATGTGTCTTGACTATTGTTGTATTTCTTTGGCCAGATGTTGAAAGAAATCACCGCCAGTGTTTGATGTAAGTTCATGACTCTTGGTGATATGATATGATATGTGTAGACAGCTGTCTTATGTTGTCCTCAATGCCATCCAGATCTTAACAAATATATAATAATATATATGTATATATATATAAAGATTGAACAGAGACCGTACTATTCCACAAAGAGAGAGAGAGATCCTTGATATTTTGCTTCTATAAAATGTTAATCCTTGACCCTCTCACTAGCTATGTTTTTGTTGAATGGGACATTCAAGGATTCCAAAGATTGGAAGATGTTGAATTTGTTATTTGTTTCTTGTTGCGCCCGGTTTGATAGTGATGTTTAAGGTTAGGAAGGTCATTTTATAGAGATTGTCAGCTCAGGTGGTTTAGAGCAGAGAAGCATATCTGGTTCTTGACCACCTTTGTTTCCCAATTGGCGCTGGAATGTCGCTTGGCCTGACATAATCCCAGAGCGTTGATTTTGACGAGAGTTCAATTACTAAATATGTTTTTTCATTTGGAAAGCCTAAGGCACCCAGAGCCTTCATTGCCTGGATTGCTTTGGTGCCTCGCAGTCCGTTTCGTGCCTCTCACCAATATATGTGTAGTTTCATGCAGATTCTATTGTAGACTTTATCAGGCTTGAGGCTTGCATTGAATTGAACTAGTTTTGTTTTATGTTTTTAGCATAGCTAGCTCAGGTCCTGTTGGAGGAGGGCCGGATTTTTGGCAGAGTCTTATGACATTGCTCTCTCGAACGAACACGACTTGACTACATTCGAGGGAGTTGTCAATCTCCTGAAACTTCTACTGCAGCTGGCTGGCCTGATTATTTGTAAAAGATGTAAGTTGGTTGCTTGATGAACTTTTTTGAGCTGATTGAGCTTCAGTTGCAATCAGACCTATTCTGAAATATGATTTCAGAAAACACATGTTCTTCAAGATCCATAGGCTGTTGCCCTCGGCGATAGTCATTGCTGGGCCACCGTGCAGTTTGTTTGTGGCGGCTTGTCAATCTGTCCATGCCCGGTCTCTCTCCAATCTGGCTGGCAACGTGGCGAACGCCAAAGTCCGATTGGCCAATCGGATATGGGCAAACTTTGTGACCTGCTTAATTTCGAGTAGATTGACGTCAAGCAACTAATGAAACAACAGACAGTTAAGTAGACTTTTGGATACTTTTGGTATGTTTTGGTGATTACTTTCTCAGGCGGCCTGTCTCAAGATCATATACAGGCCTGCTCATTTGACACAACATGCAATTGCTTTTGCTATCTTTTGCTTAGCGCGCAACAGTTGAATTCATTTTGTACGTCACCACCCCAAACATAAATCCCCGTTGCCAGGCATCGCCAAGATTTGTACTTGTTGATCGAGCAACCGTCCTCCAGTTGGGCATTCAAAACGCCAGAGATGGTGGAGATCAAGAAGATTTGGGGCATGTGACTTGCATTATTCTGCGTCATTCTTCGGACTTAGTATGAATATGATTGAATATGTATGATATTTGAGTTTTTTTTGAGAATGTTTAGAGTCCTAGTCATATGAGTGGTGTTGCTGCAGGACGAAGCTGACCACGTATATGGGCTGCTTCGCCCATGATTTGGAAAAGTGTAGCCATTTGCTGATAAATTGGAGGATTGCTGTGGGATGATTTGAAAGAAAACATCACAATGATGAATATGGTTTGATATGGTTTGTTTGAGTGTGGTTCTGTGATTGGTTTGTTTTCATTTGATTTTGACTGTAGGAGTGGAGAACAACTTGCGCGCACTATGACAAAGGCTTTGCGTAACAAGATCAAGGACCCTGGGATCATCAACTTTAGACAACTTCCAACTTCTGTTGTTTCACGATGCTTTCTTCAACATCTTTTATTCGATGTTTGCAGGATCGATTCCAGAAACGTCAGGCGAAGCGCAAGATTCCCAAGGCGTGGTGCTTTACAAATAGAAGCAAATAGAATACAACAAAATCAAGAAGATCCAAATTTGATTTTCATTTTTTTTTGAAGCACAGATCCTCTGGTTTATGGTTTGTTGATTTCCTGGAAGGAGTACTACGTGAGCCATTCCAACGGAACTTGGAGCGGTGGGAAGCATTTAGCTTCCTCAGCCAGTTACACAGGCCACTTCTGCAGGGCTATCCTAAAGTCCTGGCAAGGCTGATTTGCTCCTTCTGTTTGTCGTGTGTGAAGCGCCAAGTTGCTCATTTTCCAAATAAGTTTAAATCAGATGTGATATTCCATCTGCTTTCCTTTGTGTTTTGTGGACATGTGGTTTGGCAAAGGCCAAAACAATACAACCACATTGAAACTGTTGTGAGCCGGCCTCGTGGTGCTCGTGTGGGAGGGGCATCTTTATGGTAGAGCCGGTGTTCGCTGGGATTTGCTCATTGGGAAGGTGTTCAAAAAGATCTGTGCGGGTGTCAGGTTATGTGATTTTTTGATTTTGAGACGTTACAATCAACATCATTCAACTGTGCATGCAGTTCATCTAACAGGGTGAGGATTACTTTCTATAATTTGGTAACCTTGAGGCCCCACTGGAGGACAAAACCGTTGACCAGAGCGCATTGCCAGGACTGGTGACTTCCCAGCACGGCCAGGGTTCTGGAGGTGTTCTAAACGTAATCCATTTCATGGTGGCC